TTATCTGCATTTATAAATTCGAAATAATTGATTACATAACTGTTTTGAGTGGTGTTCACTGTCCAGGCCAGATAGGTATATAGAAGTAGCAGAATATAACAGAAGTTGGTTTAAAAAAAAAAAAAAGGAGTTTTGCAAGAACGGTTATAGATATATGGGGCTTTTATTTTGACATTTGTGAGACTGCGTGCCGGAAGGGCATGTTGTTAGTTCTGTCGTTCCATTCTGTGGCTTTATTGCGATGAATTGGAAAAACGTGTTTATAATTTGCTACGATTTATTATTCGCATTCGGACGCGGGTTTTTGCGGTTGTTATAAATTCCAAGAAAGCATATTACCCTTTGGCTTCTTTTTGTTTTAATGATGACCGTATTCTGATGACTGTATCGTGTTTGCTACTTTACTGAGATTAATATGATTACTTTTTTTCTTCAAGGGACATTTTCTACTGTTAGTTTTTGTCAAATATGTCGCCTTCAAACAGTTGTTTAAATGAAGACGTGTGGACAGTTGTACGGTTTGCGACGTTCACGCGACTGCTTTCCCTTTTCTTACAGGTAAGCAATTGACATACACAAACGGGTAAAATAGCCTAAAATTATGTGTTTGTACTTTGTATTTTGACGCCTGCTTAAAATACTTACTATAGACATGAAGACCTCCATAAAATCAGTATCTGGCAGTATTTGTGAAATTGAGATTCGAGTGACACCTACCGCACAAATTGAAAACAAGGCATATGACAAATTACAGTCTATCTTGTGCTCTCTTGAAGGCTGTGCTTAATGCAGTGATTCCAGACCACGTGGCAGATGCCTTCAGCCCTCCACGATCAGAGACCCCTCTCCTGCTCGACCCCGTCATCGAAGCATTATTTGGTGGCCTTTGTCACTGGGATGCAGAACATTTCCTCTTCATTGCAGAGCGTGGTTACTTATATGAACACAACTTTGCATTCTTTCCTTTGTTTCCTCTCATCCTGCGATTCCTGGCAGCCACTGTCCTGTGGCCTTTTTGTGGATTTCTCACATTGCATGGCCGTTTAATTTTAGCTGTGGTTATAGGGAATAGCATTCTCTTTATCCTAAGTGTCGTGGCATTATACAGACTGAGTCGTTTGGTGCTGCAAGACAGAAATCTTGCCCATGTTGCGGTCTTAATGTACTGTCTGACACCAGCTAATGTTTTTATGGTAGCAGGTTATTCAGAGACTCTCTTTGCAGTGCTTACCTTTGCAGGCCTCTGGCTACTAGAGACAAGATTCACACTTGGAGCTTGTCTTCTGCTCGGGTTTGCTACTGGTGCTCGTGCCAATGGACTTGTGAATGCTGGATTTTTGCTGTATCTCACTTTTCAATGGGCTCTTGCCCGTGCAGGGGCTCTTAGCAAAGGAGCAGGGGGCTTTCAGTATCGTCTCTATGTCTGGGAACTTATTTGTTTTGTTCACACAGGAGCATTTTATGCAGCTTTCGTGGCACTGCCTTTTTGTTTGTTTCAGTTCTATGGCTACCAAACATTTTGTCATCCGACTGCTACTCAAGTTCCTCCTGTGCTGCTTAATCTGGCCCGGGACAAAGGATACCGTGTGGCTGATGCAGAATCTCCAACACCAATTTGGTGCCAATGGCAAATTCCAGTTTTGTACTCGTACATACAGGATGTTTATTGGGATGTGGGCTTCCTGCGGTACTTTCAGTGGAAGCAGATACCCAACTTTATCTTGGCACTGCCTGTTGCAATTCTGGGATTCATAGCCTCATATATGTACATAATGGCTAACCCAGTGTTTTGTATGTATTTGGGGTTGGGGGACAGAGGAAAAGACCGAAAAACGCATGGTTTCTGTAACCCAAGAGTCTTTGTTTACATCGTGCACAGTTCCATCCTGCTTCTAATTGGAATATTCTGCATGCATGTGCAGGTAAGACTTTTGATAATTGAAAATTGATCATTATCATGTAACATGTAGTATGCTTGCTCAACGCGCTTTTTTTTTTTTTTTTTTTTGTTTACCTCTTGATGCACTGGCAGACTTGCTCCATTTATACACGATGCATCCTGGGCTATTTCATATCATTTTGGTTTTTAGGTCTGGCTCTGCATTGTAACTTCCTTCCCTGGACTTGATAACTTTGAAGAGCTTGCTTGTTTCAGTCTTCATGACATTCCTGTGGTATAATATTATGCTGTTTGACAAATATTGTTGTGATGTATTTTATTGTAATAAGATGTTTCTGGTATTCCTTAAAAGGCTAATATATTTTTGTATTGAATTAGTATTTAATGAATATCCTTACTGTAACATTGAAAAAATATTCTTGAATTTTTCTCTTATTAAATGAAACTTGCTGAAGCAGAGTTATATATTACCATCCAAGGGTTCGTGGTCAGTGCTTTTTTTTGGAAAATACATTGATTCAGCAAGGACATATTAAATTGATCAAAAGCAGCACAACTGTTTTTAACGTTGATAAATGTTTCATAAGCACCATCAGTGTTTTAGAATGATTTTTGAAGGATCATGTGACTGTGAAGACTGGAGACACAAAAAGTAAATTAAAATAGTTAAAACGGTTACTTTAAAATGTAGTAATTTTTCAGAATATTACGGTTTTTACTTATATCAAACAAGTGCCGCATTGGTGAGCAAATTACTTAAAGGGGTCATATGAGGCGATTTTAATTTTTCCTTTCTCTTTGGAGTGTTACAAGCTCTTGGTGCATAAAGAAGATCTGTAAAGTTGCAAAGACTAAAGTCTCAAATCCAAAGAGATATTCTTTATAAAAGTTAAGAGTCAACCACGTCTACCTGGGGTCGTCACATGTGGTTGCCGCAAGCCTCCTTCGGCGAATCCGCCGGCCGTGCCGTGCCGTTCTCAAGCCCGCCGGCCGTTCCTCACTCTAGGCCGCCGTGTGTTTTGTTATGAAAGTGAAACTACTTTGTTTGGTCTTCCAAAAGAGGACACGACTAGAAATCAGTGGTTAAGTTGTATTTACAACACTGTTCCAGAACAGTTCAACCCAAATATTCAGATGTGTGCAGCGCATTTTATGGAGGACTGTTTACTGATCCTGGTAGAGTAGACTACAATGCCGGCTGTTCTGACTCACAGACTGTAAGTACATTTTCATTTAAAGGATTTGCCACTGACGATTCAAACGCGAGTTTTGAGCAGTGTAGAGTAGCGCTTGTTTGTCATTTCTCCGATCACAAATGCAGACATAGTATGGTTTTATGTTTACGGGGCGCAATGCAATGCATAAAAAGACAGTATAAGTCATTATAATCCGTAATTATGTCCCCACTGGATGCTACAAATGCCTCGTTTTAATGGGTTTTAATATTATTGTCTCGTCGCTCCGGCCGGACGGCATCACAGTATGGTAAGGGGAGTAACATTTGCGTCACACGCTTGAGGTATTCGGCCAATCACAACGCACTGGATAGCTGGCCAATCAGAGCACACCTCGCTTTTCAGACCAACGAGCTTTGTAAAAATCGCTGCGTTTCAGAAAGGCGGGGCATAGAGGAGAAACAATAATGTACAGTATGTGGGAAAATAATGTTTTTTTTTAACCTTAAACCGCATAAACACATTTCATTACACCAAATGCACAAAATAATGTTATTTTTAGCAACATCATATGACCCCTTTAAATGAAAAACATTTTAGAAAATCTTACCGACTCCAAACTAAGGTAGTGTATGTTTTGTTTGAATTGCAGTCAGAATTATTTTTGAAATTACCTGTAAAAAATATGAGGCATTCTGAATTTGGTCTGCAGTAAGGCCACTGCAGTTTGTCAAATAAAAGGGGTTTACCCTAGGCACTGATTGCACATGGTCTTGTCGCAAGGCCCCTGTGATATTGTGTTATGTCACCATCTAGTGGGTCCAAAGTGTCATAAGCGGTTTGTGATAGTTCCAGTGTTATTTTAGTATTATGTATTATAGTATCAATTGATATTTTGAGTTAGCTTTTATTATTTTAAGTTTTTGTAATTGTTGTGCTTTTGTCATTTTTATTATTTTTTAAAGAAATGTCTATTTAGCTTTATTTGTATTTTAGTATTATTCATTTTAGTACTTCAACTCACACTTATTTCAATCAGTTGCCAAGTTAATTCTAATTTATGCAGCTTAAGCTTTTCTTCACATATTTATATTTTATTTAATTTTCAGCTTTATTTCAATTACCAAAAACATTTCTAATAGTTTGTTAATAAAAAAAACTGTTCAAAAGATACATTATTGTTACTACTGTAAAATTACAGTGAATTAATACTGGATCCTAAAAAAAGCATAAACATCTTTTATGTTTTATAATATTTTCATAATCATTTTGTTCCCATAGTTTTTTAGTAACTATGTTACTTTAGCATAAACTTCAGTTACTAACGTAAAAACAGACAGACAAACAAAGTTTTCTGGTTTTTAAAAAGGTAAACTAAATTGATTCTCTTTGGTTTTTTATTGATTTATTTTAGATTTGTATCATGCTCGCCTCTTACTCGACATATTTCTGTACATTTATGGTTGTGGATGTATTACATGTATCTGTTACATTCGTAATGTCGGTGAAGGAAAAATGAAAGGTCACTTCTGAAACTCTACGCTCTGCATTGCATTTCGGAAGTGATCTTTGATTGGTCCGCATGAGATGACGTACCCCTTGCGAGTCATTGGTCCCTTTCTTCAGGTAATCCTCGGCTAGGAAAGTGATCGCAGTAAGGTAAATAAATATTGTTGTATCTTATCCGTGGTTGAACGCTGCGCTATATTGATACGCTTAGAGAATTATAAACAAAATAATCTGATCTATTTTTCAATGCCCAACAGATTAATTCCGGTTGGACAACTTAATATCGACAGCGATTGGACGGTTTGGTAACTCGAGGAGCCGAGTGTCGTTCAAATGACGGTTGAGGAGCCAGTGAGGAGCAGTGTCGTCCGCTGAGATATGTTAGCTTGTTGACAGCTAGTCAACAAGCTAACGTAGTTAATTAGCGTAGCTAAGACTCCTAATTTATCGAAAGCATCAACATGGCTTGATAATATAGTAATTGTTAGTCAATATATTCCCTTTAGGGGATGCTTAGTTGCAAACGAATGCGTTGAGCAACATATTATGTGAGGATTATATGAGGACTTTCGAGTTAGCTTAGTTCGATAGCTGAAATAATTTTATTACCCAAGTGATTTGTCAGTACATTTGTGACAGTATCTTCAATAATATGTGACAGGGCTTCACGGCTGGTATCTAGTGTCGCTCTAGCTTCCTCTTTGTTGGGGCTTGGCTTGTAGCTAAACGCGTTCTTGAGGTTACATCTATACTCTCTTACCTCTATACTATCAGTCACTTTTTTTTTTTTTAATGAAAAACTGTGAGTATCAACAAATAGACCCACGAGCGCTTAGAACATCGACCACCCGGACCTCCACCAACAAAAACGTACGCGTACGGAGGAAATGGGAGGTTTTGCCTGGGAAAAATCGCTTCTACTGTGATGGCCGTATTATGTTGGCCAGGCAGTGCGGTGTGCTCCCGCTGACCATCGGCCTTATTTTCATCACCAGTGGCTTATTCTTCACATTTGAGTGAGTAGTATACATTTACACACAGAGACACCAGTGTCCACACTGCTGGACAATACTACAACTACTTTTGACAATAGAGACATCTCCACCAGCTGTAGCCCTTCTTGACATCATATCAGTCTGAAAACAGTTGCTCCCACAAAGTTATCAAAAAGCACACTTACAATATTTGTCTCGAGTTCTAACTTTGTTCTTGTCTTTGTGTTTGATTCATAACAGTTGCCCCTTTCTGGTGCATCACCTCACGGTCTTCATTCCAGTTATTGGTGGGGTGTTATTTGTATTTGTCGTCATCACCCTCTTTCAAACCAGTTTTATAGACCCAGGGATTTTACCCAGGGCTTTGCCGGATGAGGCTGCAGACATTGAGAAGCAGATTGGTAAGACTTTGAGTGTGGTGTTTATATTTCATTATTTTGTGTCCTAACATTTTTGTTGTGTATGTTGATATTAAAGTTGTGGGTTTCTTTAAAGATAATTCTGGATCTTCAACATACCGTCCACCTCCCCGCACTAAGGAGATCCTTATAAATGACCAGGTGGTCAAGCTTAAATACTGTTTCACATGCAAGATGTTCCGTCCGCCTCGGACATCCCATTGCAGCCTGTGTGACAACTGTGTTGGTAAGGCTGGATCTCTATATTTCAGCAAACAAAGTTTCTGCATTTAAAGAAATTGTTCATCCAAAAATTTTAATATTATCTCTCACTCACTTTCAAGTGATTCTAAATCTCAAATTATATGGTGAAATTTTGAATTTGTTGAAATTTTGAATGCAATGTGAATGGGGACTGAAGCTTTAAAGGAGTAGTTCACCCAAAATGAACATTTTGATAATTTACTCACTCTCGTGTCATTCAAAACCCGTATGACTTTTATTCTTCTGTGGAACATAAATTAAGATATTTTAAGAAATGTGTTTTGTTTTTGTTTTTCTCCATACAAATGAAGTCGATGATTACCAACATTCTTCAGAATATTTGTGTGTGTGTGTTTTGCAGAAGAAAGAAAATCATACAGGTTTGTAAAGACATGAGGGCGAGTAAATGATAGAAAATTTATTTTTCGGTGAACTATCCCTTTATAGCTTCAACAAGAACCATAAAAGCAGTCCATACAACTTGAGTGCTATAATCCAATCTTCTGAAGCCATGCACTTTGTGTATAAATTGAAATTTCATTCATTATTCACTGGTTATCTTTTCCTTTAGTGAGCTGTTTACCTCTAGAACCGGAGTCAGTGAGTTGCAGTGAACTTGCAAATTGAATCAGTCTGATTTATGAACTAATAATTTATACCAGGATCAATCAGGTTCTTTCACAAATCTGTCAGTGCAGCTTCTTTAACCTAACCTCATGGAAAGCCCTATTAGGGAGATGTCAAGATTTTCAGTTAAACTCTGTA